TTTACAAATTATGCCAAATTTCAAACGCTTAACTATGCCTCTAATAAAGCGTCTGAAACTTTGCTCTGCGTCACTTCAGCAGCATCAGGTAATGTTGATATGCTGTTTCATGGTTTTCTTCAGTTCTCGATCTACTGCAGAATATTTTCAAGGGATTTATCTGCTATAACAGACCGGGCCAGGAAAAACTCCTTCATATTTTCTGTTTTATCCTCAGTAACTTTGACACGATGGCATCTGCTGTGGTGCTTACACCTCTGATTAAGTCTCACAAGTGTCAGCTTTATTTTTATACCTAGAAAGTTTACACTGAGTTTATAATTCCAGAGAATCAGTCAAGTCGCTTTGGGCGTGTCATTTTCAAGCAGGAACCTCAGAAAAGCTCCTGGGGCTTAACAGGTTAAAGAAAAAGTGCAATATTGTAACTGCTTTAGATTCTGTTCTTAACTTCCAAAAAGTATGTATTGAATTTAGAGGGTTCTTTCGACAGTACATACCCAAGATAAATGATCTTGGATGATAATATTTCTGACCAAGTCAAAATCTAACTGAATGGAATCAAACCTTGTGAATCAGAATTGAATCGGTTGTAGGAATCAGTGACAAAACCCGGGCCTAGTTCTGATATTGTTTTACCTTTTCATCAAGTTCTTCATGGAGCTTGTTGGTCAGTCCCCTCAGTGTGTGATGCAGCAAAGTGATTTCTGTGACCGCCTGAGCCATCTTCTCTTCAAGCTCCAGGTTTGCTGTCCTGGCTCTGGACCTTGTGGCTTTAAGTTCTTCCTGCAAATTCCCGTTCTCAAGCCTCCATCACACAAACACACAGAGGCAAGTTATCATTCAGTGTGCCAACAAAATGTTAAACATCATAAGAACAATTTGCACTAAGATTTATTATTACAAACATAAGGCCATAAGGCAAAAGACTCCAGTCCAGAAAATATGTATGCGAGTATTAATCCTTGAACATTTTACAGTTTTTCCTGTTGATATAGACCTGCCCCCACAGCCATTCATACTACCCCATCATAGTTAAGAACTAGAAAAGTGGGCTGTATGTAGCCCTCGATGTAAAATGAGTTTGACATCCCTGATCTAAGAAACTGAGCACAGACAGACAATTTTGTTCTATTTAATCCGAAAGTTTTTTCAGGCTCAGTTTGGGCTTTTCAAGCACATCACCCTCAATGGCTTATTTATACTTACTTAAGTTGACAAACTTCTTTCTTCAGGTCCTCACACTGGATGTTCCTCTCCCGAAGGCTCTGCAGGTTTTCCCTCAGCATACGCTCACTTTCTGCCATCTGCTCCCTCGCCAACTCGTTCTCCATCTGTAGGAACTGATGCACACAGACAGCAGGAAAATTAAACCTAACATCCTCCCCTCAAGGTTAAGTCGCATATTATTCCTGTAATAACCAAACGCCTCATGCTTCTCTGGTGTTAAATGAGACAGATACCCTCTCTAATGCTCACCTCGTTCATTTCCCGCACACCACTGAGCTGTGTACAGACATCCTGGAGCTGCTGGATCTGCAGACTCTGAGACTGTGAGAGGGACTGCAGCTGACTGAGCTGCTCCTCACTCTGAGCCAGAGCCCGACTCAACTCGCACACCCGCTGCTCCGACTGACCCAGTGATGCCTCCAAGCTGGACAAGGTCAAAAAGAAAAAA